CAGGTGGCAGTTAGAAGGTCATTTATTCTTTAGGTGCAGGGGTGTGTGACTTATCCCTGCCTGGCATGGCCTTAGGTCTTGTTTATAATTTGGTATCTCATTACCACCGAGAGTCTGTGCCGTCAGTTCTTATGATCTCGTTTTAGCAATGATGCTGGTCAGTTGTTGTGTCTAAGCTACAAAAGGGAGGGATTATAACAAGCCAAATCCAACCTCCCGGCCCATTGGGGCTGGGAACTCAGTTTGTATGGAGTCTCTGGGGTCTCCTCGGCCAAGAGGGAATCTGTTCAGTGGTTGGGGGCTTAAGATTTTATTTTTAATTTACAACACAATGAAAACTGGAAATGGGGGTTCTGTTTTCTTGGGAACTAACATTTCCTGGTGAGCAGCATCTGTACCCAGCCAGATAGGGGGGACTTTCTTCCTTCTTTTCCAACCGTCTTGCTCCTTTACCAGATTATAATTTGGTAAACTTTTCACGTTGCCTGTAATGACGACTTTCCAGAAGAAAATGGGAGGATACACAACGGCGAGGCGAGGTCTCAGCTCTGAGCAGCAGCAGTAATGGTTGGAAAGTAGGTTTGCTCAGGTCCCTGCTCTAGGGACCAGCCCTTAGGAAAGTGCCAGCTAGAGCACCATGGCCTGTGGATGGTCACAGACTGCCCAGGGAACTTCAAAGAGGAACTTAACATAGAGCTCCTAGGAATAGAATTATGAGGGATTTTAAGGCAGTTTATTTTAACTTATTTCACAAAATCCTAAAGTGCAAAGTATTGTAGAACCAGAAAGGACCTTCCACATCATCCAGTTCAAACCCTCTTTTCACAAACAGTAATACCAGTTCCTCTAGCCCTGGGGCAGGGCCTTGCTTTCCAGTTTCTCTTCCTCTCACATTTCTTTCTTTGGAAAGTCTGACAGACCTCTCTGACTTGAGACAGTTGCCTGTTTGGTCTCCCCAGGCTGCCTATTTTTAGATACCCCTTGGCTCCAATCCAATCAAGCAACACTAGGCACACAGAGACAACCATCCCTGGCCTGGAGGGACATCCATTCTCTTGTCCTTGGGCCTACAGACCCATGCTCTGCTGGGCTGGACTTCTTTCCAGTGCTTGACTAAGCACTCTGTCCAAGGCCTGGTCTCTCCCAGGCCATAAGTGTGAACCATCTCTGGATTCCCTCTGCATTAAAAATTGACCAAAGACATGAGGGCACCACTTTTATGGCTGTGTGAACTTGGACCCTCAGCAGCCTCATCTACAAAATGGGCATAAAAACATTATATTGCCCAACAGACTTTATAGGGTTATTGTAAGCAAGTATGACAGTTTGTAAATAACAGAGATATTAAAATTAGTGTATGAGTATCATCACCAAACTTACTAAGAAGGACAGACAGGATAAATCTGAGTGGAGAGGGCAAACCTGCAGGGAGGTCCTGACGCTGCAGATGTCGCCTATGCAGGGAAGCCTCACTCCGGGCACCCATCTGGCCAGCATTGCTCACACACTTCTGTCTCACTGCATTTGCTGTCTTGGCAAATATTTATCTGCCTCGTGAATTCCTAGGAAAAGCAAGATGTCTACTTTACTTAAAAAAGGGGGGTGGGAAAAAAAAAAAAAAGCCTGTAATCCCAGTGACCCAGGAGGCTGAGGTAGAAAGATCACTTGAGGCCAGGAGTTCAAGTCCAACCTGGCAACACAGCAAGACTCCCCCCACCTCTACAAAAAATTTAAAAATTAGCCAGGCATGGCGACATGTACTTATAATCCTAGCACTTGGAAGGCTGAGGCAGGAGGATCACTTGAGCTCAGGAGTAAAAGGCTGTAATGAGCCATGATCATTACCACTGCACTCCCGCCTATGGGAGAGAGGGAAACCCCATCTCTAAAAAAGAAAGAAAAGTCCTTACCAAAAAAGGGGGAAAAAATCAGAATTTCCTGGAAAAATGCAAAGCTCTCCTCTTTCTCCAGATGATTTGTAATGCTCTCAGTCCCATAAAGCCATTGTCTTGGCAAACCAATCAGGTAGAAGGCAAAGACAGAGGAGAGAGAAAGACAAAGCCCAAAAGTGGAGATTAAAGAACAACAATCTTCACGAATGGAAAAGCAGCTTGGAGACTGCTGATACGCTGCAGGGATTTTCTCTGCAGTCTCTGCATTATTGTAGTTTGGTGGCTGCCTCACACTACCCCCGGGGCAAGAGCATTAATGGGATCTCTCCCACACGGCTGCCTCCAGGCAACCTTCTTGGAGAATCTCTACTACGATCCTAGATTTGGGATCAGTTTTCCAATTCAGACCTTGTTGTTTCAGTGTCTCCTCACTCTAATATGATATGCTTCTGAGGGGAAAGAGGAACTATTGATTTTTTTTTCCCATTCAGTTGTGAGCTGGTGAATTACATTATTTCAAATCTCACTTGCAAGGAGGCCTGACATCAGCAGGGACTGCGTGGTGTGGAGCTGAGCACAGGCGTGATGAGGATGCCTGCAGCACCCTGCATAATTACTGCCCCCGGCCAGGGAGCCCTGGGCAGTTTAGCTAGTGGTTGGGGGCATGGACACCACAGAAGGCCTGGCTGCTCTCCACCTACCAGCCTCCCCAGCCCAGCCCTGCTGCGAGGCTCCCAGATTCTCCAACCAAGGCCCAGCCAGCCCTCCTTTAACCAGGGGTTGAGTTTGTTTCACACTTTGTGCCAATGGTTTGTAAAAAGATGTGACATGTTTCTTCCAAATGCACAACAAGCGACAATTCGTCCGTGAGCTGCCAGAACACATTTTACATGAAGCATGAAAAATCCCAGGAGCTGAGGAATGAAGGACTCAACCCCAGATGAATACAAGCCAGTCAAGCATTTCTAAAGAATGTTAGAAAGCGTCCTAGGCAGCCCTCCACGTCATCACTGTGATTATTACCATAATTATTCCTCACTTTGCAGTTAGCCATATGCATGCCACATGAGGTCACAGGCTGCCCTCCCCTGGTTTTCCTGACACATAAAACCAACAAGAAGCCAGGGGAGGCTGAGCTAATGGTGCTAGAGAGAGATGAGCTGCAAATCACCATTCTCCTCAATTTACGCCAAATACATAGATGGAACCTCACGCCCCACACGGCAGGATGTGATCCACAGAAAACCTTGGACACTGTGTCCCCCATCTTTTCCCTCTCCTCCCTCCCCCACCCCCACATCACAATCCCATTACAGAGAATGGGAGTGCAGTCAGCAGGGGGTGGAACAAGAACCATGGGTTTCATGTGGGAGGAGAACCAAGCTCACTGGGTAAGAAAATAAGGAACTTGTTTTAAAGCAGAGGGGTTGAAATCCCAGGGATGAAAGAAATTCAAATGAACATATCTTTTAATTGGTTCCTGTCCTTTTATGCACCCCTGCTCTGTCAGCTTTCATACTGTGGCGCTTCTGATTCTCCAGTGCTTAAAAAGGGTTCTCCTTTTGTTCACTGGAAGAAAACCATTTTTGTTGGCTCCACACAAAAAGTGTCTATGATGTCTCTGGGATGGTAACACTTCATCTCCTCCTGCTAAGTTATTTGATCCAGAACACAGACATTGGAAAATTCAAATGGCTTCTTTGATTTCTATTATCACACCCAAACCTAAAATCATTGGGTGTCCTTGACCCCAGCACATGCCCTCTACTTCCAGCCTGTCTCTGACATTGGCCAGGGAGTTCCTAACAAGCCACAGTCAGAAATGATGGCCTCCATGCAAGCACTGTAAGTCTCCACCAGTGACACATCCAGAAAGGCCACGTGCCATCAGGAAGTTTCTTTTCAAGCTCGTGGGTCATTGTCCATGAAACAAAGCATATCTTTCCCTTTGCAATTGCATGTTAGAAAGTTGAGTAAATTACAAACAGATGGCATCCCCAGTTTGCATCTGGCCTCTATGAAAATCCTTATAGATGATGATAACAGTCGTGATGTTGAGTGATCTGTTTCTCCAGGTTTTGTAACAATACTAGTCTCTGCAACTTCTCTTCATAAGACTTCAAGGTTTTCCTGTTTCACAATTTGTCTGACTCTCCCCATCTGGCCTAAGAAGAGCCTATTCTCATGAACAACAAAGGTAGCTATTGATGTATGTAAGATGGGTTCATTTGGCTGAATATACCTACTGGATATTCTCCCTAAGTCAGCATTTTCTAAAAGACAACCAATACTTCATAGCAAAAATTAGGTTCACAGGATCATGTCCAATTAGTTAAAAATACTGGACCAAGCAATCTCTCTGACCTGTTGAGCCAGCTGGCTCTACACTGGCTTCTTTCGAATGCTTCATTTCTTCAGATCCAGGTTTCAGAATTAATCAACAAGAGTGTAAATATCAGGTTTTTCTCTTATGAATTAGGACTTTGGGCAAATTATAACCTTCTTAAACTTTTTTTCCTCACCTGTAAAATGAATATAACAACAGAAGTAACTCATAGAGTCAGCTTATAACAGTGCCTGGTCCATGGTAAGCACCCAGTGCATTTTAGCTGCCAATAACAATCCATTCTTCCAGATGGAAACTTTGTCACTGGCTGTCCCTCTCTCACTGGTTCACCTCCTCCCTTAGTGAGAGGCATAGTTCACCCCTCTCCAGATGATCGTCCTCAGCAAAAGTTGGCATCAGGATCTTTAGCCCATTGAACTCCAACAGTTCTCAAATGGAGACAGGGTGTCCTGAGGGTGTTTGGAAATGGGGAGGGTGTTTGGAAATGGGGAGGGTGTTTGGAAATGGGGAGGGTGCATATTGGAACGGGGAGGAGCACTGGCATTTAGTGGGTTGAGTGGCCAGGAGGTGAAATAACTTGCAATGCTCAGGACTGCCCCACACCGTGAAGAATTTTCCCACCCAAAACACTAATGGTGCATCCACTGAAAAATACAGACTGTTCGGGAAATGTTTAGAGATGAAAGTCATTAGACAAAATCATTCCAATGAACAGGTCAAAGAGGTGAGTGGCCCAAAATCAGTTAGGAAATCACCAGTACCTCCTTATGGTTTCCAGTGGCTCTGCATGGAAGGGAATCTGACCGGCTGAGGCCAGGGTGTCCTGCAAGGCCTTGCTGACCTCCTGCAGCTGACCCAGGGACAGCCGGCCCACCAATGGGGTCAGGTCACAGCCCTGCCACCGGAGTTGTTGCTCTTTCTCCTCTATTTCCCTTCTCAGCTGTTGATCTTTGGCTTCCAGCACCGACATCCTTGCTTGGAGAGCTTCGATTTCTTTCTATAGAGAATGAGGAGTCGAGATTTTATAAATTAACCCTGCTCACGGCAAACTGCTCTGAGGATAATGACTCGTTTAAATGAGAATTGGCCATATGCACAAGAACCAGGAAGCTCCCCTTCTGAGGCAGGCAGATTTTTGGAGGTTTGCTGAACTGGAAAAATCATGCCAGCTTTATATTTCTAATGAGTTGGCATAGGAAAAACATTCCCTCCCGAGCATTAAATAACTATGGGGGGTGAGCCAAGAATTTGACTTGGAAGAACCCAGCAGATACATAAATGACTTACTTCATCTCGGATGGACAAGTTAGGACACAGGGCAGGGAGCCTTACGCACCTGAGGTCTGAGCTAAGCAGGTAACCCCAGCCACAGACCAAAACAAGAAATGCAAGCGACCCTTTGTTAGTCTGTCCCCAAACACAAGAATTCAAAGTAGAGAGAAAAGTAAAAAATGGCTTCTTAAGTCTACAGGGCTGAGAGAGGAATGAGATGCTGCAGATGGTGCCATGCAGGCTAAAGTTCATGACAATATAAAAAAATGTAATTTCTGTGAATATAGCAAACTGAAATCCAAAGAATCCATAAAATATCATTTAACATTAAGGTCAATTAACTAAACAAGCAGCAGGTAATGAACGCCCATCGTGTGCACAGTGTTACAGCAGATCATCATCTCACTGCCCATATGATTCTGAATCAAAAATAAGACTCTTAATTAACATACTCCCAAGTGTTATGCTGATAAGAGCACAACTCTAATCCTGGGTGTCTCCTAACCTCTTATTCACGTTCTCTCAGCCCCAAGGTGCATCACCTGCAACTTCTACCTCGTGAACCCACTTCAAGTATGGCAGTGGGGAGAAGAATTGGGAGTTACTAAAGAATGTCTACTACCAAGACATTCTAAGAAAAAAGTAAAGCCTCAGTGTCCCCAATTGCTCCAAGATTACAGTCTTACTGACAAAGTCTCTCAACTAACCTCTCTACTTCCACCTTTGACTTCCTCTACCCTATTCTTTTCTTTTTCTTTTAGTTTTCTTTTTTTTTTTAACTGGTAAAACACATGTAGCATGAACTTCACCATCCTGAGCATTTTTAAATGTAGAGTTCAGTGGCATTACGCACACTCACATTGTTGTACAACCATCACTGCCATCCATCCACAAAACTCTTTTCATCTTGCAAAACTGAGACTCTGTATCCATTGAAAACTAATTCCCCATTCTCTCTTCCTCCAAGTCCCTGGGAATTACCATTCTACTTTCTCTATGAATTTGACTTCTCTAGGTAACTCACACAAGTGGAATCACACAGCATTATCCTTTTGCGACCAGCGTATTTCACCTCAAGGTTCAACCATGCTGTAGCCTGTGTCAGAATTTCCTTTCAAGACTGAGTAATATCCCATTACATGTACATACACATTTTGTTGATCATTTATCTGTTGATGAGAACTTGAGTTGTTATCAGCTTTTGGCTATTGTGAATAATGCTGCTATGAGTCTACGGGTATGTAAACATCTCTTTGAGTCTATGCATTCAATTTTTTTTGAGAGAGAGAGAGAGATCTATACCAGAAGCAGGGGTGGCTGGACCACACAGTGAATCAATTTTTAATCTTTTAAGGAAGCTGCATACTGTTTTCCATATTGTCTTACATCCTATTCCTAATACAGGGTCAAATTATTTACGATGTGGTCAGATCAATTACATTTAGCATTGTTTACTTTAAACTTTCTAGATGTTCCTAAAAGCAACACTCTGACTGCAGCTGAACGCCATTATACAGGCAAAAAATTCTCCCTAAATGAAGGCATCCAATGGTTCCCTGTTGCAATCTGAGAAAATTCCAAATCCTTACAAGGCCCCTTTATCTCTGACTTCCTCCCCAAATCCTCCCCCTCATTTACACCGCTCCAGCCACATGGGCCTCCAGCTGCCCTCTGAACACATGAGACCCACTCCCACTCTAGGGCTTCATCTTGGTATCCCCCTGCAGGATCCTCTTGCAGAAATTTCTGCAAGGCCTACTCCCTCTCTTCTCTCAACTGTTGGGTCCTATTTCACTTCTCAATGAGTAGACTCCATCCTCCACATCATCCTAGTCTACTCTGGGAAGCTCTTATCACCCTACAACATACCAGTTATCTAATAGAGGTTTTATTATGTTTATCACTTGTTGTCTATCTCCCCATTCTCACCCCCTAGTAAATCAAAAGCTCCCCAGGAATCTCAAGCATTTCAAACAGTATCTGGCACTCAGTGAACCCTCAATAAATGTCTGTTGAATAAATGAATATTCAAGTACCTTTCCCAGAGTGCTTCAAACACTAAGTGCCCAGGGCTAAAATTATTTTCTCTACACTCTGACTTTCTCAGGAATTGTGTAGACCTTTAATTGGCAAATGTTATTAAAAATGAAAAACCAGATTTCACATTTTCAGCTATCCAAACAGTATAACACATTGACTACATAAGTGCTCAGTTAATGGAGGAAATGGTTTCAAATAAATTGCCCTGACTTTTTCCTCCCTTTGCCTCCTTACTCTTGAAGTGACCTGGATGGGGCAAATTCAGATAACAAAAATATGCGATGGCCAGAGCAGAGAGGGGAAGCCTCCAGCCTAAGCCAGAATTTGAACTTGAGTGTTGAAGACCTATGCTCTTCCCATGAAGTCACGTAGCTTCCAATCAATGCGTCCTCATTGCTCCCCACTCATGCTTCACAACTCCAGGCTCAAGCAGGCACGGACCCTGTTTCAAGATTCCCTGCCTCTCGGGTGCCCTGTCAACTTCCAGAGCTCTGGCTTTAACTTGGTGCTGCACCCACATTTGTAGCCTCTCGATGATTCTTAGCCAGCTTGCATCCTCTGTTCTGGGCCAACTTTGGGCTTCCACGCAGTCGGCTAATCATTCCAGATGTGCCTGCCTTGCTCAGTCCGGACTTACAACTCTGTCTCTTAACAACTTCAGCTCATAGACTACCATGATAGGAATTTCCATAAAGGATTTTCACAGCACAGATGTCTTTCTGCCTTTCAAAGGAAGCTTCTAAAGGTCAAAATGATAAGAAGTGGCAAATTGGCCTGGCAGACAAGAAAAGCATATTCAAAAGGTAATGAGGAATATCGAAAACAGGCACAAATGCTGCTGAGCTTTCAACCCTCGTTTGTAATGAGATTCCTACAAGCCCTCTAGTCATTCCCACCATCTCTCCTCTTTGTACTCCCCAGCTTGACAGCCAAGGCTCTAATTGCTACACTCAAGGAAAGTAAGACCCAGTTGGCTGCATTTGGCTTAAATGGATAAGAAAAATGCTGGCTGGGCACGGTGGCTCACGCCTGTAATCCCAACACTTTGGGAAACTGCGGCAGGAGGACTGTTTGAGCCCAGGAGTTCAAGAGCAGCCTGAGCAACATACTAAGACCTGATATCTACTAAAAATTAAAAAAATTTAGCCAGACATGGGGGTCACACCTGTAGTCCCAGTTACTTGGGAGGCTGAGGTAGGAGAATCACCCAGGAGCTCAAGGCTGCAATGAGCTATGATTGCGCCACTGCCCTCCAATCCGGGCAACAGAGCAAGACCCCGTCTCAATGAAAAGAAAAATGCCATGATATTTCTTGAAGATCTTTCACCTGCTCACCTGTAGCTGCTGCTTTTCCTGAAGAAGCCAGTCTCGTCTCGTGATGGACACATGCAAGCTGTCCTGAGCAGTGCATTCCAACAGCCTCGGCTCCGTTCTGAGTGAGGCGTGGGTGTCGTCTCCACTGGCCCTTAAAATAACACATACCTATTGGTACAGGTTTGGGGAAGCTGAAATCCTCATGTTGACAAGTATTTTAAGAGTAAGAAACTCCAAGTGGCCCCCATCTGTTCTCACACTTAGGAGGGCACTTACCTGTTTTTAGGGTGAGCTCCAAAATGTAAGTTTCTACCTTAATTACAATCTCTTGGGATTTTTGATTTTTCCCCTTAGTCAGAATACTATTATGGGACCTGCACTGTCCCATAAGGTAGCCCGTGGCCACATGTGACACATGGTTAGCCCAAATTAAAATGTGCTGAAAGTGTAAAACACACACCAGATTTTAAGGACTTAGTATGAAAATAAAGAGTGCAAAATAACTCATTAGTAATATTTTTAAGTTCATTACATGTTGAGATAATATTTTGGATATATTGAATTAAATGTATTGTTAAAATTAATTTCACCTGTTTCTTATTAATTTGGGGAAAATATAACAAGATCTTTATTCAAATGATTAGGAGTGTTGAATTCACACTCACTATTTCTGAAATTCACCAGTTCCCCTACCTTTACGGCATCCACCCTTCCTCTGCTCATTTAGAATCTTCCACTTTGCACTAATGTTTGAATCACTAGTCAATGAGAAGGCTGTCACTGAGGGTTTCAGAAGATTTTCTCCCACAATCAGCTTTAATCACAGAGAAATACACTTCTTGCAGAGCCCACATCACATTTTTTTTTTTTATTCCCAGCACTTATCACAGAGTTGAACTTAATAAAATTAGGCCAAGAGTTCTAGAAAATGCAGCTGAGCTCCTGGTAGCATTTCATCTAATTCCTGAAATTTTCACTTGATTAACTTTCTTCTTAATCCATTTTTTTTTTTTTTTTTTTTTTTTAAAAGAGTGTCTCACTGCGACACCCAAGCTGGAGTGCAGTGGCACAATCTTGGCTCACTGTAACTTCAGCTTCCTGGGTTCAAGCAATTCTCCTGCCTCAGCCTCCCGAGTAGCTGGGCCTATAGGCGTGTGCCACCATGCCCAGCTAATTTTTGTATTTTTAGTAGAGATGGGGTTTCACCATATTGGCAAGGCTGCTCTCGAATTCCTGACCTCAAGTGATCCTCCCTCCTCGGCCTCCCAAAGTGCTAGGATTACAGGCATGAGCCATCGCGCCTGACCATTAATCTTTTTTAATGTGGCTACTAGTTCGTTTAAAATTGTGTATATGGCTCACACTAGATTTTATTGGATAGCACTGCCTTGGATTATCCAAACGGGAGCAAATTCCAGAGCTGAACTTGATGGAGATTAAAAGGAGGGGTGACTGATTTGCAGATGCTTGGGTGTGAGCCTCTCAGAAAAGATTTGCTGAAAGGCTGTCAAAACCACTTAAAATCTGTTAGGCTTCTTCTCTTATTCTTGCCAGGGTTGACATATTTGGTAACAGTGATGCTGGTGAAAATGTGGCACAGGCTTGGGCCTTACGTTGGTGAGCTGTCTTTACAGGACACTTGGTGGTATTTGTCACCAAAGAATAACAAATTCACCCTTAAAACATTCCATTTCCAGTGGAATGCAGGTGGGCAGAAAAACAATTTACCCTAAGCAAAACTACGTCAACAATCCAGGGAAGCTATGTCTAAGAAAACACCACCAACTAAAACTAAAAGGCAAATGACAGGTTGGGAAAAATACATTGCTACATGTATGGCAGCAAAAGGGTTAATATTGCTAATTTTAAAAAGTTCCATCAAATTATGAAGGAAAAGACAAGTGCACCAACCAGAAATTCCAAAAAAATGGAATACGGCTAAGCGTGGTGATGCACACCTGTAGTTCCTGCTACCTGGGAGGCTGAGGCAGAGAATTGCTTGAGCCTATGAATTTGAGACCAACCTGGGCAACATAGCAAGATCCCCCACCTCAGAAATAAATGAAGCAAAACAAAACACAAAAAACGAATTGCAAAGTGTTAAGGAAAATGATTACTATCCAAAGATTTTTGTGTGTGGGGGGGGCGGGGGATGGAATCTAGCTCTGTTGCCCAGGCTGGAGTTCAGTGGCATGATCTTGGCTCACTGCAACCTCTGCCTCCCAGGTTCAAGCAATTCTCCTGCATCAGCCTCCCGAGTAGCTGGGACTACAGGTACGTACCGCCACACCCAGCTAATTTTTGTATTTTTAGTAGAGACGAGGTTTCACCTTGTTGGCCAGGATGGTCTCCATCTCCTGACCTCGTGATCCGCCCACCTCGGCCTCCCAAAGTGCTGGGATTACAGCCATGAGCCACCGCGCCCGGCCTCCAAAGATAGTTTTAAATTAAAATCCAAACAACATAAAACATCATCTTTCACCTAACAAACTGGCCTGTCAAAGGTTTTCCCAAACCGTAAGTCTTTGGTGAGATAGGGAATAAGAATGACACTTAAAATTAAATATAACTTGGGATTCTACATTCCCACATCTAAGCATTGATTGCCTGTAAATAAACATAGTTTTACACAAAGATTAGCTACAAAAATCAGGTGTTTTCTTAGTAGTCCAAGAGATGCCCCAGCATCAGGACCTCTTAGCAATGCTAAGCAGCCACTAAAATTAGGTCACACAAGAAGATATACTGGTCTGGAAAATGTTCACTATTTATTGCTGTTTTCTCTAAAGCAGGTTTTATGGCAAAAAGTATAAAATGAACCATTGTAAAAATATTAATAACATGTATATAAAATAAAAGAAAAATAGTCACCAAAATGCTATCAGCTCCTATCTCTGGGTGGTGGAATCACTTCTTTCCATTGATCTTTCTAAAGTTTCTGTAGTGAGCATATGTCATTTTTACAACTGTAACATAAAGTGTTTGCCAACACGCAGTAAGTAGCTGCACTTTTGATTTAAATATTTTAATACACCCAATTAGTCTTGTAGCTCCTGAACATGCCTGTGTTTTAAATAAAGCTCATCGATAACATCACCTTCAAGGTCACCTTCCCTTGCAGAGGAGCAGATATCTGTAGCTTCTGACACTTGGAGGCATAAACTCAGCATCCTAAAAAGGCCAAATTAAACCTATCCCCTCCTTCTACGGAATCTCCCACACAGCTAGATCTTGTCTGCCACCTTTGTACTTATTTCAGGGCTCAGTGAGGAGAAGCGTGAAGCTGCATGTTCTTATTTATATATTAACACAGGGTCGCGCTGCCTCCGCATTTCTTAGAAAAGAAAATGAGTAACTGATCCTAATATATGTTGTGCTATGTTTGTCTCCTTTTACTCCTACCCCATTTCATTCATTCATTCAGAAAAAGAGAAAACATTACTGAGCTCGCCTGGTATGTACTATGGATTGCTCTCGGCTCTGAGGATACAATGGTAAACAGTTCTTGGTTCTTCCGTGGAGCAGGAGAGACAAATGCATCAACAGAAATATTACAAGGCAATGAAGACATGGGCAATGCAAGGCAATGAAGACATGGACCAATGATGGTAGACTTTAAAGCTGGGGGAGACTCTTCCCCCTTGCTGAGTCCTAACTTGACACTTACAAAATAAGTGAACCAACCGACCATGGTGCAATGAAGCAGGCTTCATATTTTTAGAAACAATACTAGGAAATATGTCACCTCAGCTTTTCGAAGTTAGAAAACAGCAGTTACAGAAAAAGGAACCTTGCTTTTGTTCCTATGTCTACCAAAAAGATCAGATTCTCTGAATAATCTTAAAGGTCACTTATTGTAACATATGATGCAATTTAGAAATCTATTCTTTGTTTTATGTGCTTAAAGGCAAATAGCAGCAGCAACAAAAATGTTTAAACTGATAATAATAAAATAAACTACTGTGAATCAAGAACGTACTGCACACCAGACGTCATCTTTTGATCACATTCGCTTCTCATTACAGACCTAAGATGAAGACGCTATTATGCCAGTTTTGCTGATGAGGAAACTGCCTACCGGGGGTTCCGGGTCTAGCCCATGGCCACGCAGACAGCAGGAAGCAGAGTTTAGGAGTCAATGCGGATCAGGCTGAGTCCCAGGTTCCTGCTCTTTCCCAGATATCACACGCCATTAGGTTCTCAGCAAGCCCAGGAACTTCCATCTCCCCTGCCTTCCAGTCACATCCACACACACCCATTCTTTGAGTCCTCTTGCTGGCTACCAGCAGGGCAGTGCGACGCAGACAGTGCACAGCATGTGGAGTTAGAGGCCACCCTTTGGGTCTTGGTTCTGCCTTTTTCACGCTGTGTCACTGGACTTACCTAATCTCTCTGAACCTTACCTTCTTTGTTTTTAAAATGAGAATGACAGTGATGTGGATAACAAGAATGGCTTCCCTATGGAGTAAACTATGGGGAACAAATTGATCTGACAAACGACCACTGAGCATCTACTGTATACAGACCCCACCCTCGCACTGGGGCTGGTGGGGATGGAGACAGAACACCTCCATCCTCAAGAAGCTTGCTGTTGATCTCCCCACCATCTCAATGTTTGCATCGGGAAAATGAACACTGTACTCATGTCAAAAGCACCCACTTTCTATACAGAGTAAGAGATGAAAAATGTGGGCCAGGCATGGTAGCATAAGCCTACAATCCCAGCAATTTGGGAGGCAGAGGCAGGAGAATCACTTCAGCCCAGGAGTTCTAGTCCAGCCTGAGCAAGACAGTGAGACCTTATCTCTACAAAAAATTAAAAATTAGGCACGGTGGCAAGTGCTTGTAGTCCTAGCTACTCAGGAGGTTGAAGTGGCAGGATAACTTGAGCCCAGGAGTTAGAGGCTGCAGTGAGCTACGATCATGCTGCTGCACACCAGCCTAGGCAACAGGGCAATCAATACCAAGAAAGAAAGGAAAGAAAGGAAAGGAGAGAGGGAGGGAGGGAGGGAGGGAGGGAGGAAAGGAAGGAAGGAAGGAAGAAAGGAAGGAAGGAAGGAAGGAAGGAAGGAAGGAAGGAAGGAAGGAGAAGGAGAAGGAGAAGGAGAAGGAGAAGGAGAAGGAGAAGGAGAAGGAGAAGGAGAAGGAGAA